TCAAAGGTGCCACAGGACCCTCTGTTGCTTTATCCAAAGACATGTCCATGAACTTGTCCATTGCAGGACTGAGATGTGAACTGCAATACTAACAGGTTTGCACTGGGGTCCATGAAACGAGCCAGAAGCCCTCTCAAACTCTCCACCACCAGCCACAGCTTTCAGGAGAATATCCCGAGTGTAGACAGGGCTAAACCAAGAGCAAGTTTTTCCATTAGTTTAAAAGTCACAAGTGGGACACAACAGCTACCTTTATGTCTCCCTGCCTCCAGGAAAGGGTCATTTGGGCTCATCCAAGATGGAAGAGGGTTTGGTTCGTTAAGTTTTTAAACCCTTCTCTGAACCAGCACCAAAGCAGAGGAGAGCCCCCCCCCCCCCCAGCCAGGAAGTGCCCACCCAAGAGTCACTATTGTGATCACCTGTGAAGAGATCTGGAAGTGTAGAGGAAAGTGAAGCGATTACCTCCAATGTGTCCAAGTTCCAGGGCAAACAGTGTTGGTGCAGGGCCAGAGCTCGGGCCTTTTGCTAGTATTTACAGACCAGCCCAGCAGCCCACAGGAAATCAGTGTTTGGTCTCCATTAGGTGACCAATCACATGGGGTTATTCGGGGATTAAAGGGACATCAATCAGAAAACCAAATCCCATCCCTACCTGAAACCTTTCTGCCTGTTGCTGTTACAAAGGACACCAGCAACAGGTCTCAGCTCAAAGTTAACAAAATAACTCCCACTGGCACCCGCAGCAGCGTCCCCACTGTGGGAGCCCAGCCAGGGCCTGAGATCAGGAGAGGGGAGAGGAAAACAGGTGAGCTTTCCCCCTTCTGACCGAGTTTTTTCATGTGCTTTGTGCTCGGTTTGTGGGGTCTGTCACACAGCAACAAAAGGAGGGTGAAGGGTTGTCACCCAAAATTGCAGGTGCGGGTGGGAGAGGAAGGGGAAGCTCAGGGGGGAGGGGGAACTGGCTAATTCCAGCGGTGCCCCTTTAACCCGAGCCAGGGGCTCCAAGCAGAGAGGGGGCAGCGCCTCTTCCAACCCCCCCCCCCGGGAGCGCAGAGCCCAGGAAACACCTGGACGTTTAACAAGACAAAGCCCTTTGAAAAGCGGCGCCGGGTAAACCCGCCGGGGGCGCCCAGGGCTGGGGGGGGGGATTGAATGCAAAGAGCTCGCCCAGCGGGGGGGTATTTAGCACCCACTTAGCAGCGCGACACGGCGGGGAGCGAGTCTGGCCCCGCAGCCGGGGAGACGCCCCCCCTGCAGCTACCCGGGTCCTTTTCCCCAGCCCCAAACTGCCCCCCTGCAGGTCCGCAGCCCAGCCCGCACTGCCCGGGGGGAGCGCAGGGGAGCTCCCCGGGCTGGAGGGCAGCGCAGGCGGCGAGTTACAGCCCCTGTGACCGGGAGCCCGGTCCCCTCGCCCGGCGCCACCCCGCTGCAGCCCCCGGGGCGCGAGCCGCGTTACCCCGCGTCCACACCAGGCGGGGGGTCCTGGCCGTGTTCCGGTCCCCGTACCTGCTCCCCGGCGCCGAGCCCGCCTGCCCGCGGGGCGCATGGCTGGGCACCCCGCCCGGCCGTCCCGCGTCCTGCTCGGCTGCCTGCGTCTGGCCGGGCTCGGCTCGGCTCCCTCCCGCCTTCACACCCCGCCCCGCCCCGCCCCGCCTGACCGGGGGGGCACAGGCGGCTGCTGCAGAGGAGAAGGCTCTCGGGCCAGCCGCAGTGCGGAGTACGGGGGGGGGCACACAGGTCAGCTGGAGCCAGACCCCCCTCGGGGGCTGGAAAGCCTGAGCAGGAGGGGGGAGTCGGGACAGCGGGCGGTGCAGACAGGCAGCATGACCCCTGAGCCAGCCAGTCCCTCTCCCCAGCCTGGTACCTGTGCTCCGGAAAAGGGAAAGGCCCCATCTTGTCCCATTCCCCACCCCCCATAACCAGCCAGTCCCCACCCTGGGGCTGGATCAGAACCAACACCCCCCAGAAAGGCCATGTCCCATTCCCTGCCCTTCACCCCCAACCAGCCAGTCCCCTGCCTCAGGGCCAGATGGGAGCCGACACCCCCCAGAGGGGTAAGGCCCCGTGTCCCATTCCCACCCCATAACCAGCCAGTGCCCATCATGGGGCAGGATCAGAGCTGATGTCCCCAAGAGGGGAGAGGTCCTGTTCTCTGCCCCGTGAGACAGCCAGTGCCCTGCCCTGTGGCCAGATCAGAGCTGGTGCCCCCTAGAGGGGAAAGACCCTGTGTCCCATTCCCACCCCCCATAACCAGCCAGATCCCCACCCTGGGGCCAGATCAGAGCCAGCATCCCCTAGAGGGGAAAGACCCTGTGTCCCATTCCCTACCCCCTAAACCAGCCTGTCCGCCTGCCTTGAGGACAGATTGGAGTCTGTGCCCCATAGAGAGGAAAGGTTTCAGAGTAACAGCCGTGTTAGTCTGTATCCGCAAAAAGAAGAATAGGAGTACTTGTGGCACCTTAGAGACTAACAAATTTATAGAGAGGAAAGGCCCCCTATCCCCTCCCTGCCCCTGAGCCAGCCAGTTTTGAAGCCAGATTAGAATGGGGCATTAGAAATTATAAAAGGCCCCATATCCCATTCCACAGCCCAGCCCTGCATTTCTTGTCCTTTGTTAAATAAAGGAACCCTTTCAGAGCCTACAGCTCCGGGGCCATTAGCCAAGAGCCCAGCTGACCCAGAGATGAGCCCTGAGCCATGCCACCAGACTGTTTGCTTAAGACAAAATCACTTAATCAAAAGCACCCTGCTCTGCAGAAAGGGGTATAAATGCTCTCCCTCCCCCTGCTCCTATTGTTTGTGAGATACATGGAGTGGAGAAACCCTTATCAGCGCTTCCAATGTGGCTTAGCTGGGAAGCAGAAAGAATTCAAGGCCATCCAAACATAAATCCAGATAGGACACGCTAGGTCTGGGGTAGTGTAGATTCACAGTAAGCGCACAAGCTGGCTGGAGACAACACACACACACATTATACTGTTTTGACCGAGGTGCCCACTGTTAGGGAACAATTATCAAGGCCCTAAAATAAAACACCCCTCAAAATGCAACAGGTAAACTTACTAACAAGATTTCTTTTACTAATTTACAAGTGTGATGCTAGAACTTTAAGTAAAAGTCCCCTGAAAAGCCATGTTTGAAAGAGATAAGAAATGTTGACATTAAAGGGTTAGCGTGTTCTCCATAACTTCCCCAGTCAAATAAAACTGAGTTCTGATAACAGAGACACTGAATGAGGATATTGAACTATAAAGATTGTTGACCTGAATTTGATGGGTTAGTTGTTATGGCTCGCCACTGATTGCATCTGACCAGAAGATTTATAGGTTCTTGTCCAATTCAGACTACAGGGTCCGAGAACTCAGAGTTCTATATCAGGAGAGGACTCTTGGGGTCCTTGGCAAAAACACTTACCCTGAGGACAATACCAAATTGATAAAAGTTTTATTGAGATTAACAAAAGAATAATAAATGCAATGAAACTTATAACTGTGAAACAGTAAAAGAATTCCAAAACGCCTGGTGGTAATATTCCTATTATAAGGAGTCTGGTGGCACCTTAAAGACTAACAGATTTATTTGGGCATAAGCTTTCGTGGGGAAAAATCCTCACTTCTTCAGATGCATAGAGTGAAAGTTACAGATGCAGGCATTATATACTGACCCATGGAGAACAGGGAGTTACTTCGCAAGTGGAGAACCAGTGTTGACAGGGCCAATTCAATCAGGGTGGATGTAGTCCACTCCCAATAATAGATGAGGAGGTGTCAATTCCAGGAGAGGAAAAGCTGCTTCTGTAACGAGCCAGCCACTCCCAGTCCCTAGTCAAGCCAGAATTAATGGTGTTGAATTTGCAAATGAATTTTAGTTCTGCTGTTTCTCTTTGAAGTCTGTTTCTGAAGTTTTTTTGTTCAAGGATAGTGACTTTTAAATCTGTAATAGAATGACCAGGGAGACTGAAGTGTTCACTTACTGGCTTTTGTATAGGTTTCAGAGTAGCAGCCGTGTTAGTCTGTATCCGCAAAAAGAAGAACAGGAGTACTTGTGGCACCTTAGAGACTAACAAATTCATTCCTGATGTCCGATTTGTGTCCATTTATTCTTTTGCGGAGGGACTGTCCGGTTTGGCCAATGTACATGGCAGAGGGGCATTGCTGGCACATGATGGTATATATAACATTAGTAGATGTGCAGGTGAATGAGCCCTTGATGGTGTGGCTGATGTGGTTGGGTCCTCTGATGGTGTCGCCAGAGTAGATATGGGGACAGAGTAGGCAACGAGGTTTGCTACAGGGATTGGTTCCTGGATTGGTGTTTCTGTGGTGTGGTGTGTAGTTGCTGATGAGTATTTGCTTCAGGTTGGGGGGTTGTCTGTAAGCGAGGACTGGCCTGCCTCCCAAGGTCTGTGAGAATTAGGGATCATTTTCCAGGATAGGTTGTAGATCGTGGATAATGCGCTGGAGAGGTTTTAGCTGGGGGCTGTATGTGATGGCCAGTGGTGTTCTGTTATTGTCCTTGTTGGGCTTGTCCTGTAGTAGGTGATTTCTGGGTACCCTCTTGCTCTGTCAATCTGTTT